CTACACTCTTTCCCATTCTGAGCTAAACTTCGCATTTCCCTTAAACTAGAACAACCCCCATCCTTAACTATTTGCGAAAGGTTTAAGTCTACTCTACTTTAAGTCTACCCTACTTTAAGTCTACCCTACTTTAAGTCTACCTCTACCCCTCGTAATTCCCGTTTCTGCCTCCCAAATGCCTCTGACTAGACCTTCATGCCTGAGAAGGTGTCCTACCAACCTATCTCGTTTATCCTTTATGTGTTTATTTAAATTTATTTAAGACCTAAAGTAAAGTAGTAACATTCGTCTGTCGATCGGGGAGATAGATAAACTCAAGTAGTTTCTTTTTTTTCTTTTTCAATACTAAAAACTGATTTTCTCCACCAACTTAAAAGCCTGCGTCCACTAACTGGCGTTTGGTAAGAGTAAACAAAGCCCAACGTGTTGAGATTAAAAACGTCTAAATGAGGAAAAAATGAGTCTAAATAGTTCATTTGAGGATAAAATGAGTCCCAATTTTTCGACTCGGGCAGTTTTGTGACGACACGCAGTCTGTCCAAGTTCGTAGAGGGGTTTTGATTCCTGGCATTTTTCAAAATGCTATAGCCATTTCAAAACTGACTGGAATTGTAAGAAGTAAATCTTATTCACAAATAAAAAATTTCATGTTCCAACTCAATCAGGAGTTAATTTAATATTTTATTTACTTAAACTTCACTACATAGTATAAAACAAAGTCGCTTCCCGCTGTCTGTCAGTATGTATGCATAAAGCACAGGAGGTATCATGATTGAAATTACACCTGTGCAGGGAAATCTACTCCCTACAGGCATTAATTCTAATATCGTGGTGTTGTTTTCCATTTGCTATTTGCTGTTACGAAGTCATTACGTTAAACTAATTCTAAGTACCTAAAGGCGCAGTTATTGAAAGCAAAGACTTGAGATGAGACAATGGCTTCCAATTTAGTTCGCCTGTCAGCCATCGTGTATGTGTCTGTAGTGTATAAATTAAAGCCCAGTTAGGGTTTGTATCTCGCTTATTAACTTATAACACACCAAAATTATATCTTATTAAATCCCTTACATGTAAGCTTTGTGTTTCTGTATGTACACATACGACGTACAAGCATGTAAGGGTGTACAAGTACACACAAAGAGAAGGATGTTTGTATGTGCGGTATTACAACATGTATGGAGAACAATGTTCTTGGTTTTATTGGTTCAATAAGAGTAAACACGTGTGCATCAAAGTTAACATGTAACTATTGTTGTCAACGATTTTGGAATTATGTATTAATAAAGCTACTTCCTTGAATTGTTCTTTATTGTTTTGTTATTATAGCTTTCAATTGGTTCGATTGCTTAATAAAACTCACGATACAAATATAGATTTCTTTTCATTTTTTATTGTCCGCAATACAAAAGGCCATGACCTACAAGAAAGGTCACTTGAATTTAAAAAAAAAACAATGCTAATCGTAATAATAATTTTTTAGAAATTTCGACTTGTAACTAGAAATTTCAACATGAAACTCATCATCCGTCACTATTGGAAGAGTAACTGTTTGCAATTCAGTTGCCTTAAGGTAAAACTATTCAAAAGTTAATGACGTTTTAACGAAAACGTAAATATCGAAATACAGACAGTGTATTGCCATCTAGTGGGTATATGAATATGTATTTGAACCGTTAGACAAGGCCTTACTCTAAGGCATTTCAACTTGTCTAACTGACAATGAATCGATGTAAGCAGGTAGACAAGTTAAAACAGGTACCTTAGAACAGAGGTGGTCAACCCAAATTATCCTGCTTGTCGTTTCGGAAATAAACACCACAGGCCACACGTATTATTTGTTATATATTTACAAGAATAATGTTTTAAAATCAAACTTAATTTTCTCTCATAGGTTCAACAGTTAATTTTTGAATGTATTTTTGTTAATATTTTATCACTTTGATCATTATCATCGTCAGTCCTGAGACTGTTTGGACTCTACTGTTTCCTGTCCTGAGCTAATCTTTGCATTTCCCTAAAACTAGAACAACCCACATCCTTAACTATTTGTGAACAGTAATCTAACCTAGGTCTACCTCTACTCCTCTTAACATCTGTTTCAGTTTCTAATATGCCTCTCATAATGGCTGAGAAGGTGATCTACCAATCTATCTCGCCTATTTCTTGTAAAGGAGTGCTAATTCCTACCCAAATAGTATTGTAATATACGTCCATGTGATAGGTAGCACTATTCAAAATGTCAGGCGGTGAAACTGTCGATTAAAGAGCACATTTTCAAATGACAGGGGGGAATGGAATGTTTATTATAGATAATTATATTCAATATAACATTTTAATCAAAAAAACTCCTTTATCAAATTTCAAATTCATTATTTTACAATTAGATGCATCCGTTCGCTGAACTTGAACACATCTTAAATTTCGAACAATAATTGTAACACTTTTGCGAAGAAAACGCTGCACTTTCACCTACCGAGGTTTTAAACAGCACTTCCTCTTAAACGGTCATGTACTAAGGGTGCTTTAGCACCCCATATGCATATGTTCTCTAAGCTATTTGTTGACTTCTGCTCTCTTACCCTTCTTAAACCTCCTCATTTCTAAATTTCCCTTTCCACGGTATTGCATCATTCGCCTGGAACATCAATTTCCGCCGCGTCCACTGTCCACGTTTCGCTCCACTAGAACCCCGTCCTTCAGACATGTACCTTTAACAATCTTTTTCGAATTTCTAACCGTTCGCCAACATAGAAGTGTGTTCTTTTTTATATTTATATCTCTACTACTCCTTCCATCATGAATTATCTGACTTACTAGATACCGAAAGTCAGCTACCATTATAAAATAAATATATTTTGTAAAACTGTGATGAATCTCGCGGACCGGAAAAACGTTCAAGACCGGCCACGAATTGACCACTCCTGCTTTAGACTAAAGCCTTTTCTAAACACTCGAATTACTTGTCATGCACTAACATTACATCCATTACAATTGGTGTTTTGGTGTGATAAATATTAAATTTACCAAAAATAACAAATTGAACATCAAGGAACGTAATGCAATCATCTCTTGTGAGTTCCATGCAAGCATCTGTTCAGATCTCAATTCAACCCCTAACGTCACTTGTTTGTACCGATACTTACCCCCCCTTCCTTACATCTACATATGATTAGTTATTACTCCTACTGTTATGTAAAAAAAAGGTTTAAGTGTCCGTAATATTTAGATATTGATAGTTTTGTCAATTACCTACCATCATCATCATCATCATCATAAGGTCGTCAGTCCTAAGACTGGTTGGACACGTACCTCCACTCTTTCCTAGCTTGAGCTAATCTTCGCATTTCCCTAAAACTCGAACAACCCATATCCTTGACTATTTGCGAACAGTAATCTAATCTAGGTCTACCTCTACCTCTCCTAACTCCTGTTTCTGCCTCTAATATGTCTCTGACTAGACCTTCATTTCTGAGAAGGTGTCCTACCAACCTATCACGCCTATTTTTTATTGACTTCCATAGAGTCCTCTGTTCTCCTATTCTTTCTAATACCTTTTCATTTCTAACTTTCTCTACTCACGTTATCCTCATCATTCGCCTCTAAAACACCACATTTCGAAGGCTTCTAACCTATATAAATAAAGAATTCAGGTTTGCTTTTACTGGACGCACGTGGAAATAGTATCGTTCCCAATTTTTAATTACATCAAAGTATGAACCAGCCGACCGAGCATGATCATATCACGAAATCCCAACGTTTGGCGGAAGTGCGTGTCTATAATATCGAATATAACAATAACAGTCGGATGACCATACATTTATTAAACAGCGTGCGATAATAAGGCACGCCAGCTGGCGGATCCCAGTTTCATTACATGAATGTTGCTGTTTGCTGTTGTTGTCCCAGTTTGTCTATTAGTCAAGGTCTATTAATGAATTGGCATTCCAATAATAATTATTCACAAGTAACGTGTATGGGCGTTACTGTCGTGATTCCATTGTCACTTGGCCTAAATATATGTGCAAAATTTATCAGCGATCCTAGATCGTTTGTTATTTACAATACAAATTGGGACACAAGAAATGCGTAGCAAACAAGATATCTAGAGATACATTATTTATTATTCCAGTCTATATATCATACCTACTTATATTTTACTAACTAAAAATGTGTCTGTTACCAGGAATAAGTATTAGCTAGAAAAGTTGATCCATATGTACTTATCTTAATTAAAATTTGACGTAAAATAATTTGTTAATCCCCGAAGGATTACCTCGAAATCCGAAGAAGTACTGAAATTTCATTATTTATTAATAAATATAATGGGAAATTCTGCATTGTGTATGACTCACTACCTACTTTAGAACAGTCGTTAATTTACTTATGTATATAAATAAACAAAATAAGGTATAATATCCAAGTATAAGCATAATATATAAGTGTATATCTAGTGGAGTTCTGGCCAAGCTGTCAACGGCGTGCCGATGAGGTTCAAAAAGATCCAAATCATAGTCCACGTGCGTGACAGATCACTGACCGGAACTTTTCTCTGTTAAATTAATATTACAAAAAATACTTTAAACTGACAGATTAAATAAATAAAATACTTATTTCCACCAAATAACATTACCGCAATAGTATAAATCTGTCAGTTCTGCAAACTGTGGTTTCTACAGGGTCACAGGAAATTACTCGTATTCAAATATATAGACAAAAATCTGGAAAAAGAAAATTTTAACCTGAATTTTTCCATGATCTTATAACTTACTAACTGGTAAAAAATAAAAATAAATTGAAAATGTACATAATGGTAACAAAGCTGATTATTTAATACAACAATTAAACTGATAGTATTTGTCGTTTGTTATTATTATTTTAAAAATCACTTTCACACCCCTTCTATTATAGTTACCTATATTTTTTGTATACGTACACCTACCCTTTTTTTTGTACTTCTTTTGTTCATTTTTTTTTTATTTTTTTCTTTTGTTTTGCTACAGGATTACCACCCTTATCGAGTGAAACCGAGATGGAAATAGCAAATACGCCCTTTAACGCAGGTTTTTCCCCTCCTAAACAAAAGCAAAATAAAAAAAATTCAAAAGTAAATCAGCAACGGGCGGAAAAAGTGGAAAGAATAAATATACATCTGCAGGGTAAGAAATATTGCAAATTGACAATAACAACTACTAACAAAATTAAGCATTAAGCATCTATCTATTTTTATACATACTAACAACTAAGAATTTAACTACAAGAACCGTTACCGAATACTTTAAAATGTTAAAACTGAAATTTTTAAATATAAAGAACATTACTTCTTCAAAAATAAAGTCAAACAACAAAGCACCTGGAACCCTAGTAATTTATATTTTAGATGACAAAAAAAATTGAACAGACTGCAAAAATATCTTAGAACGATTACAAAGGTTAGGTGAAAACTCTCCTACCAATTTTGAGGTTCTTCACAAAGATTTCAATTTTATTTTAGAATGAATGATGTAGTGAACAGTGGCATAGCGGGGAGTAGAAGGGAGGGGAGTAACCGGGACTATGGGTCCTGGGCGGACAAAAGTAGGGACAGGTATTTTTTTTTTTTCGGTATTAAATAGAATCAGGTCCGTCTCGCAGTAATGTTAGTATGTTAATTGTTTCAAAAGTTTCGTAAAAATTTCAAGGTTTTTGTGTGGTTGAAAATCTACGAAAAACACCTGTCCTGTACCTAAATGTAAAAACGGTATTTTTTCATAGCCAAAATAGCAAAAGCTGAAAGTCGAATAGTCAAATCCCGAAGGTTCCTTATATGATAGGGACGAAGACCGTTGTAGATTGGTACCTACGATTACAAAGGCTGAAATCGTAACAATAATTGTAGAAAAACATACCAAAAAACAGAAACACGAATCGCCTAGTGGACTAAAAATTTCGATTTTGTATCATAGACAAGACACTTTTATATTCTATAATAGCATTCCATAATATTAAATTTCTTAAATGTCAGTAAAATGAGCAGAATTATCGAAACTTTAAAACATGTATGGAAAAAATTCATATGCTCCTAGTGACAATAAAATACAGACGATCAGAATCGTGATGACTATTTGAAGAAGCGAAACCTTTACTATACTTCATAAATCCTAAGATGAATACTCAAAATCCGCTTGCTATTCTAAATTAGTGTGTTATGTGAGGCTTTTGCAAACGCTAATGCTTAATTTTATGTTTGTTCCTATTAAGCATGGTAAATTAACACATTTTAAATTGAAATTAATTATTTTGTTGTAATTTAAAAATCTTGTATCAAATTGAAAAAAGCACAAAATTTCTTTTGCACACAAGCAACTCTGCTTTTAAAGGTCATTCAGTGTTACCTAAACTGAATGTTAGTAATTTTAACCCCTTTCCCCACTTGTCAGCAAAAGTTAGCAAAGCTCTAACTTCCCCCCATGCTTACATCAACATTGGAGGTACCTACATATTTTCTTAAATTTTTTTTAACTTACAATTAGCCATAAAACACTTCGTGAGCACTATCTGTTATTTTGAGGAATCCCTGAATATACGTTTTGCTTTCGAACATAGGCAAGTAGGGTTGTCATATTTGTTCATATCAGAATCTATTAAATTTTGCAGAAAAATCATAAAAATAAATAAATAAATATTACCATATCGTAAAAAATAAACAAAGCAAAGAGGAAGGTCAGCAAATTTAGGCTTCGCCCTGAGTGGTAGAAAATTACGCTACGCCACTGCTCTTGAATATGTGGTTAATCTAATAAAGAATGCCCAAGTGTTGTTGTTATTTAAATTGGAAACGAAATTTAAAAGACTCGAGGGATGTTTTGGTATAAAGCCTTCACCTATGAAAAAATTTGCAATTGTTCTGTAATTTCAATAAAATATACTTTTTAATAATATGAAAAGTATTGTACTACGCCTATGCATGTTTATACTGCGAATGACGTTTGTTAATCATTTATTTTCTTGCGTCAACTACTTTGAATAATATGCACTTATAACAGCTTATTAAAATAAAAGAAGTAGAACTAACTAATTAAAAAAATATAAATTTTATAGAATTAAGTAGGTGGATAATAAAAACATATAATATGGAAAAAATTATTTCCTCAAACGTTCATAGGTAGGTAGTTCGTGTCTTTCCTTTATTATATTTTTGCATCAACCGTATTATTATATTGACTTTGTGGGTTGAGAGCAATTTAAAATAATGAGACAATGTTCTCGGGAATCAAAGCATTTTCACTGAACTGTATAAACACCAGTGTGTAATCTCTAGTTATTACTACGTTTTACGTAACAATACACCTATCCTACACGCACTTGTTTTGCACGTTTCTCGTTTTATTTAAAATCTACATTGGACCGAAATGACCACATCTTCGTTGAGACAAACCGAGACAAATAGGTTCAAATGAGAATTACAATTTAGTTGTATGTATCTTATATACATACACTACCCAGTCGTACGAACGGCTGGACGTGTTTTGAAGATTTCCCCTCTTCCACGAAAACATAAAAAAAAATTATATACATTTATATACTTGTACAAAAATGTAGTTATTATTAATTATTGGTAACTGTAGAAATATTTATAAAAACTAATAGATAATTTGAACATCATTGATCAATGATCGAATACGACCTAGTAAATCTAACTCAGTACATTTTGTGTGTTTTTTAATGTATTTTTTATTTCTTTATATTTAGATACCATAATATTTAATAAATAATAGGTAAAAGATAGACATTTTTGAAAATCGGCGGGACGCAGGATAGTCCACCAAAACGCGGGACTGTCCCGCCAAAATCGGGACGTGTGGTCACTTTACATTAGGCTAACTATACAAAGTTGAAAAAAATACTTCTAGAAAACACTATAAAAGAATAGAAAATCATTAATTGACTCTACCTTGTGGAAACTGGTAGACAATTCAAATTTTAATTAAGTAGGTATATGCAGCATCATCAAGATTTCGTTCCCGATTTATATCATCGTTTGTGATAAGCGTGTAAATCGGGAAAAAGACGAGCTTCTGAAATCAAATCAAATCTATATCTTTAAGGATGTATTTATGATAATCTGATGTCAGAACAAAATAATTTCAAATTCTGGGTAAGAATTATTTTCGGGCGAACTCCCTCTTTTACTTGGAAACAACCAGATGGTACATCTATAGTTGGGTCGTTTAAAATTGGCAGAGCCCGCAATAAAACTGTCGCATTTACTTCCTTTTTTCAACTTACTAACTAGACTACAGCTGTTACTGAGAGAACGCCTACTTTTACACACGACAAAACGTCGTACGGAACATCGTAAACGTAGAAAAGAGATGGCAGGTAGGAATTGCAGCGGACACTAATAAAGAAAAGAAAATAACATTACACCAATTGATGTGTAACAGAAAGAGATGCAGACATAATTCTAACCAGGCAGTTATAAAGCTGACCCTAATCTTTTAACTACCTAAGCAACCCCTATCCGCTACACAGTTTATTATTATTCGGCTATCTCTTTTCATTTTGCCTGTACTACTCATGAAGCATTTCCTAACGTAACAAGGGCATGTTCAAAATGGAGCAAATGACTACAGTCCCAAGTGGAAACAAGAAAGAAGATACGTCCATTCTCACAGATAATTTATTGCAGACTCTGCCAATTTTAATCGTTCCAACTATACCTTTGTGCTGTAGTATAACGGTAAGTCAGGGTCGAATTTGTAACCAAAAGTAGCAGGCGAGTAAACCGATAGGCGAATCGGTTCCCCTAAGAGACGAATTGTCACCCGCTCTCTTAATAGGGGTTGCTGATGAGATTCAATTATGTTCATAGGTGTATGTGAGAAAATGATTGAAAATATTAAACACGATTGCATGTATTATTTATTGCATTGCAGTAGCATTTATGACCAGTGAACAGGGTATAATGACAATGGTGTTGTAGAGTTATGAATTTTGTTTCTAGAAAAAGTTAAGTGATGGTGTACAAAAATGGATTTGCGCTACAAGAAATTTTAAATACAAAGCGTTTATAAAAACATTATTAGGCAATTATAAATTAATCATAAGCATTACCGTTAAAAAAAGGCGGAAATCTTTTCAAAATTGATAAGTGGTGAAAACGATACATCCGTGTCTGTATCTCTTTACTTTTGCCTGTAACGACTTCCGGATATAACGACGAACGTACAGTGGCCCCTTCGTCGTCGTTGTACTCGAAATCCACTGTATTTCAAATTATTGAGAAATACCATTATGTTTATTGTGAATTGTTTTTTCTATAAATGGTGAAAGATCAGTCTCCATAAGTTACAAGTTGAATGTTCCGTTTAAAAAACAAGTTTGTTTAATTTTAATTTCATTAGGATCACTTCTTTTATTATTATCAGTGAATAGTTTTTAACTATAGATTATCTTGTATAACATTTATTATTATTTTACCATAAATGAAATTATAAGTTTATCACTTCGAAGATATTCCCACGACTTACATTTTCTTTAGTTCCTTCCATTTCCAGCGAAACATCTTTATATACTTGATCCTGTTACATCAATTTTCTTTTTGTGTGCTTTAGGGTGGCTGTTACTATTATTATCCAAAAAAAAAAAAAGAACACCACCGCAGCAACGTTTAAAGGAGCAGACGATAACATGAAAAAAATATCGAATAGATTACGCTGAGTTCTGTCATAAGATATAATTCGATTTTCTTTTTCCAACTGATACGGGTTGTTGAAATTGCCTTTTTGTTTCAGCCTTGTTTTCCGCAGTTGAACACGGTCATCTTGAAAAGGCCAGAACGATATTAGAATCTACAGATGTTGATGTCAATAGGTAAGTTCAAATGTTATTGTGATTCTTCTTTTCCTTTTCTTTATCTTTTGTTGCATTTAAGTAATTCAGTAGGTAGGTCTTCTGGTTAGCTTATCCAATTAACAAATACATTTTACCTGCTACGTATCAGAAACACTTTAACATTAGTGTTAGATAAGCCTTCTCATAAAGTATTTAGTTAATTAGGAACTTCCTATTGCAAACTATTGGGATCCGTTAAATGGGCATACACCATCTGGTGGCAAAATTTATAACTCGAATAAGGGAAAAATTTACATAGGAACTGTGCAAGCAAATTGTAAAATTGTTTATTAAAATAATAAAACACGTTAAAAAAGTAAAAATTTTTTTGATGATGGAGTCGACGAAGTTTTCTTCTAAAGTTAAATCAAATAAAAAGTTAATATGTTCAGTGAAAAGCTGCAATAGCACTTCAGACATAGATCTTCACTCTTCACCTACATTAACTACTTTCCAATAAAAACTAACCGTTTTATATATGTAAAAAATATATTCGGAAAATTAGAGAAAAAAGTAAACTAATAGAAGCTTGGATGAAAGCAGTAGGTATCAAAGAAGTGAATTCCGGAATAAAAATTTGTTCACGTCATTTTAATGCACATGATTATATTTCAGCAAGTATTTACCATCAGCCATAACCTTAATATTTAAAACTAGAATCATACTAAAATTATAAAGTGAGAAATTATTTATTCCTGTGTAATTGATTTAACACAATTCTAATGATACGATATAAGTATTTTGAGGTTAAGAACCTACCTGCTGCAATACAACAAAGTTGCAATAATGTGTTTGCAACGTTCTCTTAAATCGGCTTTGCACGTGCAAGTCATTGATATGATATTGCTTAAATCACCCAGAATCACCTCACCAATTATATAACGTGAATCACTTTTTAAATCCGAAGTTTGTAAAAAGTAGGCAGTAAACTTGACGGAATTTGAAGGCTAGCTTCCGGATTTGTTATTTCCGAATTTTATAATGTGATTGGCATTAAAAACACGCTCACCTTCAACGAAATTTCCTTTCCGAGGCTTTGTGTCAGCCCAATCACATATTGTGTCAATACTTATCATTTTATCGTAATTTAAAAACTTGGAAATTGCACGGTACACTATAGAAACTACGATAAATTTTCCGTAATCGGCGCCATGTTTTGACGGATCCCAATATAGAACATGCGAATTTTCATAAGTGTTGTGCGAAATTGTATTCGAACCAAAGTTTTTTTTTTTTAATAAAAGTTAAATAATTAGAAAAAATGAACAATTCTAGGGTGAAAGATTTTTATAAAGATTTATAATAAACTACACGCCTACAGTTATAGGGTCACAAATTCAATATTCTGTAGATGTCACAGAACATTATTAATGTTACTAATGTATCGAAAATTTAAGATATATAATTAAAATACCACGTGGTATAACACACAATGTTCACAATTCTGACTCGGGCTAGAAACCCATTGTCAGTATATTTGTCGCTCTAGAAAAAGACATCAAAAACAATGATTTTTTACCTGGTCCAACATACACAACCAAATAAAAGTATAAAATTTCGTCATTATATACGTATCGACACTGTAAACGTCTTTCATTGTTTTTCGTGTAATTACAAAAGGTATGTCCTGTAAATGCATTCTGAAACAGTAAATATTTATCATCTTCATTTCGCAGTTCAGTTTAAAAACGTGTATTATACTGAACATACATTAACGAAGAATGCAGAGATATAAAAAATAGTTGATATGCAGTATTGAAACAAAAGAAGTAAAGTATGAAATGATTTTCAATTTCAAAAATTGTAATTATAAAACTTTAGGAAAAACTTATTCGATATACAAATTGACAAATGGCATTTTCGCTACAATTAATCATCATCATAAGATCGTAAATCCTTAGACTGGTTGGACACGCACGTCTACTCTTTTCTGTCCTGAACTAATCTTTGCATTTCCCTAAAACTAGAATATCCTACATCCTTAAGTATTTATGAACAGCAATATAATCTAGGTCTACCTCTACTCTTAACTCCTGTTTCTGTTTCTAATATGTCTCTAATTAGCACTTCATGCCTGAGAAGGTGTCCTACCAACCTGTTATTGATTTCCACAGTAATTTCTATTCTATTCTTTCATCAAAGTTCATCAGTCTGATAAATTGGTTTCAATTAAAGTGACTATTTATTTAGAACAAAATGTCATGTAAATTAAATTTCGAGTTAGTTTTTAATTATTAGAATAAATGAAAATTAAGAAGATTAAATCGTAAGTAGGTATTGCGAAAGCAAGAATAATAATTTCTCCAGAATAAACAAAAAATTTAACGTTACCTACATGAACACTAGTGCCTCTCGTATGTAACTTAAAATGGGTTTTACTTTTTTGTACTATTCTCTCGGAAAAGCATGTTCCAACTGAAAAGATGAAAATTGCTTATAAAATTCTAACGAATTCCTTTGACTGTAACACTCGAGGTTTGTTATGTTCAAAGCAATATAAATTTAGATCTGAAGGATCCGTAGATAGAATACGTCTATGTAGAGGCATTTTCCGCAGATTAAAGTGGATTGCATATATTCTAAACATTGCCCCCGTGGCAGCTAAAGTCTCTCTCTCTTGAATATTTGTTCAGAAAATTTTCTCCATCTATATTGCACACTTGAGACCACATGCCACATGCTTTCATGATTATTTTTTAATATAAGTATATGTATGTTGCGCTGAATATAGTCATAGTTTGTTTCATTTGTTTAAATTACTATAAGGTTGTAAGGTTTCCACATAAAAATCCTATTTCTCCGAAAGTGTTTTATAAAAACAAGGAAAACGGACATTTTTAAAGTGACGGTTGCACTTTAAACCTTGGAAAAACTAAAACGTAACGAAACGTGTGAAGGGCAGACCAAATACTAAAGACGGCGAGAGATACGAATGATAGGGACATAGAGACAGAGTGGATCTGCTTTAAAACGTGTCTGAATTCCGCAGCTATAGATATATATTAGGTCTTAAACGAAACGAAAGTAAGACAACCTAAATAACAAAAGAGATTGTAGGATTAATACACTACGTGAGATCAGTACTTCGGAAAAAATAAGGGAGAAGAAGGCACATGAAAAGAAAATAGAATGAGCCATCTCGCACTAATCAGTAATATACATAAACTTGAAGGTAATCACCTACCGGGTCCAACTGGTAATAGCAATTACTTTGTCAATCGAATAATAACTACTGAGTGCAGGCTACTATTAATCGTCGACCTATCTGTGTACCAGCTGTTGCGAAGGTCACGAGTGGTAGGAGTGTTTCGCCTCTTAACACTTGCGATAACGAATGGCTATAAGAAGACGCGACTGCCAAATTGGCAATTGTTCTCAATCATTGAAGGCTCTTTAACTGAGGTTCCTTTTGTGCATACTTTTTACACCCCCTACGTTGTAGTGCTATCACTACTTGTTCTCTACACTTCCTCTAGATGTTACCTTTCAAATATTTCGATATACTGATCAAACATAGTACAGAAGAAAGACGGAAATACGGCCTGTATCCCATCTATACCTTACGCGTTATTATTCTTTAAGTTTTTTAATGCTACATCAAACTCTTCTCTCATTATGGGATAATCTAGTTTACCAATATCCATACTACCTTCCTTCTCTAATATAACTCCTAACTCAAGTCAGGCATGTAGGTTCTCTAAATACTGTTTCCAACTATCTGCCTTTTCCTCATTTTCTATCAAAATAACCCCTACCTCGTTTCTTATATTATAAATACCGTACCCTACACTTCTAAAATTCCTTTTAATTATATTATAAGTCTCATCGGTTTTACCTACTTCAAACTTCTCTTCTACTTCTTTACACCTCATATCAATCCACTGTTTCTTAGCTGTCCTACGGTTCCTAATTATTTCCCATTTTAATGCCCTATATCTTTTCCTAGGGTTTCCTACTTTCATTTTGTTTAAGATCTAGTAAATCTGTAACTGCTGACTTTAGGCACGTTTTAATGCAGTTGCATTCTGTCTCTTTCACCCTGTCATTCGTTTCTCCCGCCTCCTTTAATATTTCATCTCTCCTTGTACCTAGCCTATAACGCGTTTCGTAACATTTTAGGTTTTTTCAAGACGTTTCCTACCTTCCCTCTTTTTCAATTTAAATTCGGTCTAATATATCTAAATAACTACTACGTTATGATCGCTGTCTATATCTGCTCCTGGATAACTCCTACAGTCCTTCACTTGATTTTTAAATCTTTGCCTAACAAGTATGTAATCGGTCTATCTCTCCTATCATCTTTATTGCCTAATCCAAAATAACCTGCTATTACACCGTCTTTACCGTCACTTATCATTGCGTTTAAGTCTCCTACAACTATTAGATTTTTCGGCCATTTCACTAAACTTAACACGTCTTCTATATCTGCATAAACCGCTTCTGCTTCTTCCTCATTGTAAGATGATGTAGGCATATAGCCCTGCACATATAAATAACTATCTACACTCTGCCCTGCTTTCCTACCCATTAAAAGTCCTACCCCCGAATTACCTTCCCCCGATCCTGTATGTATTATTATACTCTAGTCTCCACTCCAGAAGTCTCCAGCTTCAGGCCAACGGACTTCACTAGTGCCTACCACATCTAATTCTATTCTATTAATCTCAGCTTTCAAATTTTCTACTTTCCCTACTTGCCTCATTATCCTAACATTCCACGCTCCGGCTCGTAAAATATTCCACCTTCCCCTATTGCACTTATTGATGACATCCCCGAGGTAGTCCCCGCCCGGACATCCAAATGGAGGACTAGTTTACGTCCGGAGTGCTTTACCCCAGAGAACGTCATCATTTAATTTGTATAGTTGTGCGTTTTACTCGGGATCGTAATGTGGTGGTCTCCCGTTGCCTTCCATATCGCAGTATTATGCATAGGAGTGTCATACCGATCCTCGTAATCTCTGCCACCCTGAGTATTGAAAGAGATGCTGCCCTCTTTCAGGGACTTATCTTAGTCTGGTTTCTCTTTAAGAACCCTTCTATTATGATTCAACCTATGATCCGGCTCTCTAAATCACTGAAACTCGCAAGCCGATCCACCCCCTCTAGTTTTTACAAGAGCTTCGTGAAGGTTCAAGTCTCGTCGGATCAGGATGATAGCATACTTTTATATTAATCGCTGCAAAGTAACCCATTTTTTTCGATTAGAAATAAATTACAACGATGCTTCCCTCGAGTGAGGCTATTTTGAATCGAATTTTTGGTCCAAACAGTCCCTATCATACGTAGTTAAATTATGAGATATCAGGCTGTCAGCTTCACTCTTTCTGCATTAAACATACTTTCACAACGTTTTCTGAAAATAGCACCTTGTTCAATCGAATTCTTGACACCCTGTCTTGTGAATTTCATCACAATCCTCCACAAGGAGGTACCAATTATGAACATATACATATAAGTAAGGGAAAATGTTCGTATTATATTCTGTCTTCCCAGTAGTCATAACAGTAAATTGTTTTCATTTGGAAATATTGTGCGCCTCTCCTTTTTAGTGTATCATCTAATTTTTTTACAGTTTAAATAGTGATGGATTATCACCGTTAGATGTGGCTGTGCTTAGTAACAATCGTCCATTAGTCAAAATGCTTATAAGTTTCGGCGCTAGAGAAGGAAACCAATGTAAGTGGCTACTTCGAATTTAATTATGACAGTACCTCACATTCCGAACTTTGTGGAACGTATTTGTATATTAAAATAAAAATAATAACTTATTGTAGATTCTAGTCCAGAAGCTTTAGGATCTCATTTGAAACAACTGTTAGGCGAGGCTGAAATGCGACTGCAAGAGTATGGCGGTCTACTTGAGGAACCCTGTGGAGCACCATTGAATACCAGAGCGTCGTTCTCAAGCATTATAGGCAATGCTTATCCCACATCGGCTATGACAGGTAATAATTTTTACATTACACTTAATACGTCACATGTTTTTTATACTTTTTTAATAGCTAAAATGTAGCATCGTACTACAGATGGCGTTTACCGCGCCATTTTTGGTGTTTTCTAAAACCCGCTGTTAAGACAGCAGGTAAAAGTTGGTCTGTGTTCTGTCGGAGCTGTCTGCGACGCGCTGATGAGATCCAAAAAAATCGAAATCGCGATCCGCGTCTGGCAGTTTCGACAAAATACAGACCACTTCTAATTATTAGCTTATGAACTGATTCTTTTTTATTTCAAGGACAATTTCTTTTCTATTACCGCCTGATTGTTCTGCTTCAAAAGTTTCCACTTTATTTCAATTGTCTTTGCTGTTTTCGTTTTAAAGTTAAATAGGATATTTAAGTGAGTTTTTTAGTAAACTTTTGATAATACTGCTTGTGCCCGAATTTTTACGCAGGCCTTACCACCCTGTGCGCGATAAGCCAAGATATGCTTGATTTAATTTGGAGTCCAGGTCCGGAAATCCAGTGCAGTTACGTATTGAAAAAAGTTTTAATTTGAATAGTCTTTGTTTAACTTTTCTCCAATTAACTGGCAACGGATATCAGGGCAAACTAACTGTTTCACGCTTAGATAGAAAAAAAAAATCAATTACAACTTACAATAAACAAAAGGAAAACAGTAACTTTCTGTTTTTTTAATGAAACTAACACTAAATTAAAAAACAATAAGAAATCTTTCGTTAACCATTTTACGTAAGAACTTTCATGTCACAGTAAAATATTGATCTACAATTTTCAATACTTATTTAAAAAATATATTTCTCAAAAATGTAAGAAAGAACAATAATAAATTAAAAAGACATGCGTTTTTCTTTGCTTGTATGTTAACTTAGCTTCAAAAATATTTATGAAAAACTGCTACCATTATTGGAAGAATACTTTTTAGGCTTAAATATCTGTGTAAATATAGTTACAAAAGGGGATTTCTTCCTAAAGTAGTTTTATCTCCTAACAGGAAATACATTTCTAAAGAAAAGTATTAATTATTAGGTCAAATAAAAATTAAAAAAAAACCATCTATTTAACTTTTAATTTGCCATTACTACCCGGTGTTTAAAGAGACGCTTTTTATTTCAGGGGGTTGCTTACAAAAGCTTATCATATTGAATTCTTATTCAATTGTTTTATAAGAATGATTTGTTGTAGGGTGTACGGGTGGCGATAATGAAAAGCAAGCGATAACGTGGGGGCGCAGGGTGAAAATGCTGCGTCGAATGGTGTTAGGGTTTGCGCAAGCTCGACCCCCTGACCCACCATCTCTCGTAGCTGTTGACATCACGTCAGCAACAACAATCTGTTTAAGATTACAAGAGCCAGCGTCTGGTGATTCCCCGGTTACAACTAAATTTAAGGGTAGGTACTATAGATAGCAAACGTAATTTGATTTTTTCCTCTACATTTTTGTTTCGTCTTCCAGTACAATGGTCAGCTAGAGCAGATTTTGCTCCCGTTACGGGTGAAATGGAAATTTTAGAAGTTACCGCTTCTACTTGTACCATTGAATTAACACAGGGTAGAAGGTATTATTTTAGGGTAGCTTGCGGTAATCTAAAGGGATACGGAACGTTTTTGTCTTCTACTCCAGCCTGTGTTATACCCTCCACTTGGAGAGAAATCGAACAAAAGGAACCCCGGTAATAACATGGATGATTTAAGGGGCATACTTTTTACTCATAATCATTTTCCTACAGATTCGACGGGAAACAGAAACAACTGCAGCAATTAACAGATGAAGTGAAACTTTTCAGGCCCGGAAGTGAAATCCTAGACGTCCCAGGTCCACAACGTAGACAACAACGAAAAAAGACCACAATAAAACAACTGTTTACAGCGGCTAGTAAATTCCAGAAAAATTTGAAAAGGTGCGACATATCCAATATAATAACTTCTAATGATCAATAAGTTCTTGGTTGAATATGAAATATTATTCTGAAAATTCATTTCTGAATTTTTTACCCACTCAAACTACCTCAAATTAATGAGGGAAAATTTGTTGCTGTTATCACACCCCCGCCGGGAACCAATGTTCTGACCACTAAACTACGAGAGGTAAAGCCAAAGGTCCCGGGTTCGATTCCCGGCGGGGGTGTGGCGATAGCCACCATTTTTCCCTCATTAATTTGAGGTAGTTTGTAGTAGGTAAAAAAATTCAGAAATGAATTTTCAGAATAATATTTCATATTAAACTAACTCACTTCTAAAAACGATGTCTAAATTATATGTATGTTTAATCATAGTATATTCAGTATATAGTTACATTAGTTCAACGGATCGTTCACCTTGTAGGTCGGTTTGTCGTGGTTGCTGTTGTCACCTCTCATAGTTTTGTGGTCAGAACATTGGTGCGTAAAGCCAAAGGTCCCGGGTTCGATTCCCGACGAGGGTGTGACAACAGCAACAATTTTTCCCTCATTAATTTGAGGTAGCGTGTAGTGGGTAAAAAATTCAGAAATGAATTTTCAGAATAATATTTCATATTAAACTAACTCACTTCTAAAAGATATCTAAATTATATGTATGTTTAATCATAGTATATTCAGTATATAGTTACATTAGTTCGACGGATCGTTAACCTTGTAGGTCGGTTGGTCGTGGTTGTTGTTGTCACCTCTCGTAGTTTAGTGGTCAGAACATTGGTGCGTAAAGCCAAAGGTCCCGGGTTCGATTCCCGGCGGGGGTGTGACAACAGCAACAATTTTTCCCTCATTAATTTGAGGTAGCGTGTAGTGGGTAAAAAATTCAGAAATGAATTTTCAGAATAATATTTCATATTAAACTAACTCACTTCTAAAAACGATGTCTAAATTATATGTATGTTTAATCATAGTATATTCAGTATATAGTTACATTAGTTCAACGGATCGTTCACCTTGTAGGTCGGTTTGTCGTGGTTGCTGTTGTCACCTCTCATAGTTTTGTGGTCAGAACATTGGTGCGTAAAGCCAAAGGTCCCGGGTTCGATTCCCGACGAGGGTGTGACAACAGCAACAATTTTTCCCTCATTAATTTGAGGTAATGTGTAGTGGGTAAAAAATTCAGAAATGAATTTTCAGAATAATATTTGGTTCTTTAATGGCGTTTACTGCACTGTCTAACTTTTAAAAATGTTCATTCATGTACTAATTTAATTGCTTCCCCTTTCAGGGGTATTTACTTAGCATGCATTTTATATCACGAAGACAAAGTCCTGGTGACGAATGAAGATTTTTTACCTGTGATAGAAATAGACGAAACATTCCCCAGTTGTATCCACACGGACTACCATTGGTTCATGAAAGTTGCCTGCACATGGGACGACACCAAATCCCTTCGTGCTGACATGGAAAAGAACGTATCGTCAGCCATACATTTTAGAATGAAATTACTGTCAGCAGCTCTTCAGATGCAGTCGGCGTTGTGCCTGCAAGACCTTGGACAACTTTATTACAAACCGTTAAGAGATACCCAAGGAACCGTTGTCATAAGTGCTGTTAATAACGTCAAATCGCCCAAAAGTGTGTCTGTATTAAACTCAAGATGGCTGCCGATGAATAAAGTATTCAAAAAAGTCGTGCTCAGTGAAGATAACAGCATATCCGAAATTTTAATGGCTTCCGTAAAGGATCAAATCAGTTACCACCAGGTTTCCAAACAAAAATTAGGAAGAGGTCTTTATTTGGCATATTTGAAGATGCAGAGTTCCGTTGATCTCATACAAGTTGTTGTTCCTGCCAAATCACCTAACATGTTACCTCATTGTAAAGTTAGAGATAATCCACACGTTTCAGCGTAAGTATTAACAGTGCACTCTTTTCACTCATAACTTACAGTTTCTTTGTGGCAATTACAGAGAAGAATGGGAATATTTGAAACAACAACATGCCCCAGACGTGGTGGACAATGCTACAGAACAGCAAAAAACATTCCTAGAACTTATAGCAAACGCTGCTAAAAGACTGCTAAATTACATGGACGTTCCATCGGAAGAAATGACCAGTCAACGTCTCTACGATTCAGAAGTGATAGAAATCTCGGACGAAATCAGTTTCATCGTCATATGCCCACCAGCTGAACTGTCGTGTTCAGTTCCAGGTCAACGCGAAATTCTCCTACAACGAGGCGATCTTCTCAGTCTACCAGTTCAAGTGTTTGAAATGATTCACCTCAACACCTACCAGAACAACATAGTTCAAAAATATGCCAAACTCAGTTGTCTATTAGAACTGGACGCTGCCAACGCAAATCACCTCCACAGAGAAGCATTTTCGAACAGTGAAGTCGCAGTTGCGAAAGAAAGATTGGCAAAATTACAAGATCTTCAAACGCAGTTGAACAGCATCTGGAAACGGGTACGTTGGTTGATGGAGGTGATTAGTTTCGCGAGGGATCGGGTCACAGCTGGTCTTGCCGTCAAGTATATCCTGAAAGAGCCAGGTAGTCCCAGTTCAGGTAAAAAACGTTTTCTACTCCAAATTCCTCCAAGAGACACAAAAGTAGTGAAGAGCACAACAGGAAGAGGATCGTGGCCTGGGCCTGGAGGTAGCAATACGAACGGTCAAAATTCCGGTTTAATGATGGGCGAGTTGAGCAAAAGTGAGCAACAGCTAAGCAAAAACGAACTAGGCGTATCCTCGTCTCAATTTCTTATGGTCCACAGCGATGACTCTAGGAAAAATAGCGAAAGCTATTGCAGTGATTATTTTAATGATTGTTTGCCTCCCTCCAAAAGCGATGACGTTCTCTTCTCAACCATTCCCGTCCCAATTAGCAACAAATTGTGCAATACGAACGCCCCTTCTAACGCATCTGCATCTTCTAGTCCACTGTTAAATGTCAGATCTATTTATAGTGGGAGTATGTTAAGCGTGAACACGCTAAACACAACGAATACTTCAGATAGTATGCATAGCTTAAGTTCGGACAGTGATAACAGTTGTCCCATACCAATAACTACGAGTACACCTCGAAAAACTAAACAGAAACCCAAAATGGTCCCATCCCATAGCATGACCAACGTGAAACAAAACTTGCAAGAACCCACATTAAAGGCAAACAAATGTGTTACCAGTGAATCCTATTTGTTGCCAACAAATCTCCACAAAATTTCGTCCAAAAGTTTAACGAATATTAAGTCAATGAGTGACTTGGAATCTTCCAGTCAGAAAACGTACCTAAAACCCATAGATACGTACGCAAAGCCTGACTTAATTCCCGATCCAGTTTTTAAAGTTCCTCAAACTGACTCCTTGCCTCAGAGTTCGAGTGGAAGTGCCACGGGAAAAGATGGAAATTCTTCGGGCATTCTTCAAGTTTATGCAGCGTATGAAACAGGTCTGGCCAGTGGTACCAGTTTGAAATTGCACGTAACATCCAGAACTACAGCCAGAGAAGTAGTGGATTTGGTTGTTAAACAACTTAACATGGCTGTAGTCCTGAAAGGCAAGGAAGGTCCCATATATACTGCTGACAAACTCAAAAACTTTTGTCTGGTAGCAGTCATTGGCGCACGTGAGAGGTGCCTTCGAGATGATTTTAAGCCTCTCCAACTTCAAAACCCTTGGAAGAAGGGAAGATTATACGTTCGCCAAAAGCAAGACGTTTTGGCTGCTCTAGAACACAGCAGTAGACACAGTCAGATTATTTGAATAATCCATTTGGTCATATTAATACTCTTGGCCATAATTTTCGACCAAATCATACGTTTATTGAACTTATGATCTGAGTGACACAACCTGGTGATATAACGATATTGAAGATGATAATTTTATATTAGTCATTAAATGGTGCTAGAAGTTGTTTGAATGTTATGTAATTTGATTGTCCTCGATGCTGCAAGAATGATTTCTTCTTGCTCTAACAGAAATGCGTTATCTACTTTATTAATATTAGAAAATAAGAAGCAAAAAGGTAATTTTAAGTGATATCCAAAGAATTTAAATGAAGAAAATGGGTCCAAATTAGTCAATTTACTTTATTTTTTAATCAACCAAGAAATTATTTTTTTATTTAAAATTGGTTTCTAACTTGCAGTACCAAGGAATAAAACAGACTGAAAATAATCGAGTGTTTACTACTATTAGGTGATAGTTGCTCAGCATGGAAAAGCATGTTCCAACTGAAAAGATGAAAATTGCTTATAAAATTCTAACGAATTCCTTTGACTGTAACACTCGAGGTTTGTTATGTTCAAAGCAATANATTTTTTAATCAACCAAGAAATTATTTTTTTATTTAAAATTGGTTTCTAACTTGCAGTACCAAGGAATAAAACAGACTGAAAATAATCGAGTGTTTACTACTATTAGGTGATAGTTGCTCAGCATACTAACATCGCAAAAACACCAAAAATTAATGCTAGTTAAAAAGAAAAAAAATAATGTTTATTAATGTTAATATGCCGAATTATAATTATTGTTGGATTATTAAAAAAATAATAAAGCGAGAAAGAAGAAATGTTACTATAAAAGATGCTTAAATTATGAAAAATTAAGATTATACATATGTGACTGAAAAAAGTGGTAATTTTATTCGATTGACAAATTATAATGTCCAATATTATTAGGAAACGTAATGACTTCGTTTTTGTTGAATCTCATTGTTAGTACAAAACACATAAGGAAATATACGTATAATTTTGTAAATACATCTAAATGTTCTCAATAATCCAATTGATGTAAAATACTAGCAAAACTCAAAGCTGTAATTCCTAGGAAACCTAAAATCTGTGTTTAGCAATGACATAAATAAATTATTAAAACAAACTATTTTGTTAATCAATAATAGAATGACGCCTGCAAATGTTCCAACAAAATAATTTAGTCTTACAATTACAGCATTTCTTTAACGTAAAGTGTAATTAAATTAATTAATCTTGCCATTAAAAATTAAAAACTTATTAAAGATTTACATGTAACAATTTTAATCCTTTTTCTAATTTGTTGTTATGAATATATTTTGTTTTCTTTTATTTTAGTTTTGTAACAGTTAAAACTAATAATATGAAGTTATTTAAAAAAATGTATGTATCTTTAGACACTATAACATTTTCCTTGATTGTATAGCCACTACTCAGTTAACGGTTAGTATGACAACTGTTTGAAAATTCAAAATAATTAGCTGTTAAAAGCTAAACGTTACAAACATTAACTTTCCAGTTTTAGATTTAATTCATCTGTAATGGAAGAAACTATTAAATTCGACAAAACATTTGACGAAAGACTTGCGGAGTACGAGAAGTTCTTTCCTAAGGACATACAGTCGGTTTCTCGAATTCAAAAGCACTGGTCTTCCTGCTTAGATTTAATTGTGAATGAGATAAATGGTTGGCATGCCATTTGGAAAGTACCTCGTAATATTTGCAAGCAGCACAAAATGCAATATCCTTCTATAGTTTTGGTGTATGTGGAAAGTGTTGACTGCCAACAATTTATTGCCAAAATCGAAGTGATAGCAATTAAAAGTAAAAACGCTGACTTACCAGATAGTTATGTTGTAAAATTAATTGATTTATGGCCTACTAAAGAACAAGAAGACGTTAATAATATACATGCCATATATTCATTTGCAGATACCCTTGATATGTTTCGTTTCTTTTATAACCGTATCTTGATGCCATGGGATTATGATGATGACGATCCTAAATGGCTTTCTAATCATTTAGAGTCAAGATTGAGTCTTTACTATGACATAAGAAATGGTTTAGTCTCTAGACAGTCAGCTGAGGAATTAAACTCATTAATAACAGAGGCAAGAGATTTGCAATCGAAATTAGAAGAAACTCATACAAAATTAGAGAAAGATGATTGTTCTGTTAGTGATTATGGTGATGGAGAAACTGTTCCAAATGTAGTTTATCTGCAAGTACGTCTTCTTGAGATTAAACATAAAGTTGAATTTCTGGAAAATCCGCTGATAAGGGAATTTTTAGAACAAGAAGAGTCTGAACGTTATAATAAGAAATCAAATAAAACTGAACCTGAGAATTGGCTTATTTTCCCTGAAGGTACTCCAACTGAACACATAAACTTCCTAATGAGTGTTGAAGAAAAGTTTGGAAGTAAGACTGTTAAATTTTGTACAAGTTTAATTGAGGCGCTACATCATGGAGATTTTAATGATATATTTATATTGAATGATAGTCAGCATGAAATAAAATCCTCTGGAGCTATTGAGGGAGGAGGAGTACTGAGAGGATTGAATGGTCCAGATTCAACTACTATTTTTTCCAAAAATGATGATACAATGTTAGAATGTAATAGTGAAAGTACATTAATTGAAAATTTAACTCTTGATGTGAGCTGCTCAAAGTATGGAATTGTTGTGAGGAAAGGGAAAGTGACATTAAGGAATTGTAAATTAGTTGGCAATTTTGGTTACTCCACCCAGCAAGGAATCACTGTGATGCCAACTGGCAAATTAGAACTGTTCAATACAGAAATAAGCGGATTCACGACTGCAGTTGTTGGAAGTCTTAATTCTACAGTTGTTTTTAATGGATGCAAAATATTTTCTGCTAATGTTGGCTTGCAAATGTTTGACCAATGTAAATTAGTTGCCAAAAATACTCATTTTAGTGACTGCTATGATTGTGGAATCCGCTTTGAAACAAAACATTATCCACAAAATACTGGAAATTTTTCAATCTTGAAAGTGTAAGTAACTTTTGTTGGTTTTTTTATGCAAAACGAAATAGAAGTCACAGTTCTGTTTGAACTTCTGAAACCATAATCAGTGGCAAAAATAAAGAGTGATAATGAAAGAAACATTTCCTTTCTCTAAACTGTTTTCAATATAATAGTTGGTAGATAATTCAAAATCTCATAAACCATTTTCAACAGTTTATCTGGAGCTTCATCTTTTTGTAATGTACAACATGATTACAATGAGATTTTCAAATACCTCTGAGTACGTTTATCATTTTTATTTTATTTATTATTGGTTTTTAAACTAATTTCCAATGTATAGGTACTGATCATTAATAATATTAATTACAATTTTTTATTCAAACGAATGTTATAGGATTTGTGATTTTGATTTGATATCTTTTTTCTTTCAAGTCTTCGTGATATTGAAATTGAGAATCTTGTTGGGGAAAATATATCACATAGGGAAGCTATAATACAAGAAAAATCAAAAATAAAACTTTTCCATTATCCATTACCATATTCAGATGATAGTTCTTACTCAACATCTGATGAAGAGATGAAATCAACTGATCCAGATGATGATGTAAACATGAATGAAACAGTTATTGAAAATATAAAGGAATCAAACTGAAACTTGAGAAGCGCTCTTGTTTAATTGTTTGTTACAATTAGAATTCCAAAGATATTTTATGTTATAATTTCGTTTACTCCTTATCTTTCTTTTATTAATAATCGTTATATTATAAATTAATCGTTTATTTTCTTTTTATATTTTAAGAATATATGTAGACAGTTTATTTGAAAACAACAAGTTATATTATTGCTTATTTCATTATTATTTAAGTATCTACTCCTACATGTGATTTTTTTTAATTATACATATATATTGGAATTATTATTTTTCAAATTATAGTATGATATTGAAAGTAAAAGAGCATTTATCAAATTAAAAGTCTCGGCTTCTACATTCATTAAAAACAAGTGCGGAACGATTGGTCACCCGCCTTCACGCATGCGTTACTACAACGCTGGCTGTAAGAATATCTGCATTTTCGTAAAAATTTTATTCCAAAGTTTTATGTGCTATCTAATGAAGATCAGCATCAATTTTGTATATCTCTATCTTTTATTCATAATCTATCGTTTAATTATACATATCACACTCAAATGCTAATTTGGCACTAACGGGAGTCGTGCACTTGTTACATAAATTATCTCTTCTTCTTTTGTATTTTTATTTGCAATACAATATTATTGTATCAGCTTTGTAAATAAAAACTTAAAAAAATGTTCGATTTCTGGCTAATCTAATATCTTTTTTTATTTGCGTTTAGGTAAAAATAAAAAAAATAAAATGATGCAATTGGTTATACGCTAATATGTTTTAATGCAATTCTTTAACTCAAGCTCACTGCTGTGCTTTTTGTTATTGAAACGGTTAGAGAACGTCGTTATCTTTTCAATAGAATGCTAGCAAAAAAGGCAGCGATGGTCAAAACAGATAAACAGCAGATAATATATCTGATGCTCAGTCTTCTCAAAGAAATTCAAGCGAGTAAGACGTGAATAAAGTGTATTATTTAGTTAAGTGATTGCAGTGTATTAAAAAAATCAAATTAGACGCTTTTAATAGGGTAAATAATTAATTTATTGTTACCAAAATTGTTTATAGGTGCCAATGAGATCGTTTATTTAATATCAAGGTAAGAAAATGTACAGTATACTTTTGTACTCTAAATGTATAAAATGCAATTGTTTAATCTAAAAATTGCATTAAATCTTTTAAGAGGGTTTACTATTAAAACATGTTGGACAATAATTATAAATATAAGGAAAGGTGTTGTAGTATGGAATAGTTATGGAATACCAATCGTCTTATTATGACAAGGAAATCTGGTGAATAATACTTTGTCGACGTTTTATTTAAGTTAATAATTTCCACAATCCAGCTTTGACACCCTCAATAGTCTAGAGCAAAGTTGATAAAAGTGGACAAAATAGAAAGTGGGGTATAAATAAATAATTAACATATAAAACAGTTTATCATGTAGATAACTAAAATTAAAAATTGAAATAATCATTTAGTAAAAGAATCAGAAAAAAAATGTTTTGTTACAAAAGCTAAAATTTGACTATTAACTTATTGCATTTTCGTGACCTTTGGAGTGATTAATTAGTTCATTTGTGAACGTAATAGGTAATAATTAGGTTCGGATTATAAATTAAAACATTTCAAAATGAAAAACTTTTCAATATTGCTTTGTAATCAGCTTCTAGTTGAAGGACTCCATCACCATTACCTAGGTAGCACATATGCGATGCAATGAATAAAGAAAACTAATATTATTTCAAAAGTACATGGGGATCATAACTACTAAGCAGGCAACTATATTATTTTTTTCTTAGTTTACCCTTATGTAAAAGATAATTCACTGATGAGGACAAAGTGGAATTTAATCCTTAGTATCTACTTAACTACTGTTTCGAATGATTTAATTTTTTTAAAAATTCAATATATTGGAATAAATCATCAAAGCGTTTTCTTGTATATGAAAAGTATTATTATTTATTATTATTATACAGCTAAAATTTACAGGTAAATATCAAAAATTGGGAGGTTTAAATTGTATTTTGTTTAATTCATTCGGTTATTAAAGTTTCTACGATATCGGTTACAACAAA